TGCACATCAGCAGCATCCAACTCCAAACCCAAAGTTTGCCCCAGAGCAACAATATCATCCACTAGATGCACTTCCGGGTCTTCCACAGGTGCAGATGCAAGTGCAGGACCGAAACCTTCGAAGTCTCGCTCAGGGACACCCTCAGGCCACAGGTTACGCCATGCAGAGTTTAGAGTCCTCCGTGTCACTCCTTCCCAGGCCTTATCGATCAAACGTAAGGCACCCAGGATATTGAAGTGGTTCTTCCAGAATTCTTTGAGGGTCAGCCCTGTATTGTCGGTCACATCAACACACCTCTCCAACAAGGCCTTCATGTAGAGTTTCTTAAAGTTTGCAATGATTTTCTGGTCCATAGGTTGGAGGAGTGGAGTGGTATTGGGAGGAAGGAACTTGATGGTGATGAACTGATTTTCGGGATACAATTCATCTCGCATCTGTGGAGGATGTGCAGGAGCATTATCGAGCACAAGCAAGGCCTTAAGTAGCAACTGTTTCTCCTCAAGATATTTCCTCACTGAAGGGCCAAAAACATCATTGAACCATTCAGTGAAGAATATCCGCGTGACCCAGGATTTCTTATTGGACCTCCACATCACATTTAGTCGCACCTTGTACACTTTACATGCCTTGAACACGCGTGGATTTTCTGAGTGGTAGACTAGCAGCGGTTTGACCTTGCAATCGCCACTTGCATTGGCGCAGAGGATGAGAGTAAGCCGATCCTTCATCGGTTTGTGGCCAGGCAAAGATTGTTCCTCCTGTGTGATGTAGGTCCTCTTCGTCATTTTCTTCCAAAACAGGCCAGTCTCGTCACAATTAAAAACTTGTTGGGGCAAGAACTCCTTTCCAGCAACAAATTCCTGGAACTCTGGTACAAATTTCTCAGCAGCAGCTTTATCAGAGCTGGCAGCCTCCCCATGTCGCACAACACTTTGGATACCGCTTCTCTTCCTAAATTTCTCAAACCATCCACGGCTTGCCTTAAATATCTCCTCCTCTTCAGATGACGCACCTGGTGTCTTCCTGGCAAGGTCCACATACAACTGCTTGGCCTTTGCACAGACAAGAGCTTCAGACACACTATCGCCATGCAATTGCCTTTCATTCATCCAGACTAGCAGTAGCTTTACAACCTCTTCTAGGATTTGTGGACATTTCTTGTTAACCTTGGTAACTTTTTTAGCCACCTCAAGCGTCTTTAAATTGTTCCTTCCTCTTCAGAATGGTACAAATTGTTGATGAGGACCTGCCATACTCCTTGACAAGAGCAATCACACGCACACCATGCTAGTGCTTTGCTATTATTTCCTTCTTCACTTTCACAGTAATTGTTGCTTTCTTCCCCTTGCCAACACTGTCTTTAGCAAGCAGCTTCTTTGGCAACATCGTGCGTTACAAATTGCAGTCACAAAACCACAAAAAAACAGAAAAAAACGCAAATAAATCCAGAGCTTGTCGTGTGAGATACAACAACACTGGCGTTGGAGGCGTCCGAGAATTTGCGAGAACCCGCAAGATGCTAGGAAGCACCATGTGGTTTTGCTCGTTAATAGAGGTGTGCTCGTCAATAGAGACAAATTTGTTGCGAGTGGCTTGCTCGTTACTGGAAATGCTCGTTAATAGAGCCGCTTGTTAATCGAGGTTCCACTGTATGTATGTATGCATGTATATATGTATATATGTGTGTGTGTGTGTGTGTGTGTGTATTTTATTTAATATATTATATATATTATATAATATATATATATATATATATATATATATATATATATATATATATATATATATATATATATATATATATATATAATATATATATATATATATTTATTAGTTCCAGTTAATAGATGTTCTCCTTATCAACAAAACTTTCTTCTTTTTAAAAAATTCGTCTAAAATCAATTTCTGACAATATTTTGATGAAAGTTTCACGACCCTGAAGCTAATAAGTTGGAGATTTGTTTAACATTTTAAAATAATTTTTACATAATTTGAATATTTTTCGCTTCTTGACCCATAAGGATGCACCGTTTAATAATAATAATAATAATAATAATAATAATAATAATAATAATAATTTTTATTTAGGCAAAGGTACATACATAAAGAGATTTTACAAAGTTTGTTGGCTTTATAGATAGAGCTAGTACATACAATGCCTAAAGCCACTATTACGCAAAGCGTTTCGGGCAGGAAAAAACACTACTGACTAAAGCTTAAAATGAATAAGGTTAAATGTCTCCATGAGAAGCCCTAACATGCCTGGTTTGGAAAGATGTTAGTTTGAGGCCTTCAACCATTCCTGTTACGAGAGCTTGCTCACTTCTGGGATGATATTTGTTGCCATGTGTTGAACTTTCTCCAACGCAGATATGACATTTACAGGTCAGGTCACATGCTTACATACAGTATTCCAGATGGTTGCACACCACAGTTGCACAGCTCAGTAACCACTGCCTTTTCCTTAAGTCAAAGGTTCTTTTGATTATTCTTAAGGTTTTACTTGTTTTTTACTTTACTTCATTAAACAATTTTAGGAAAGTAAAGACCCCACTTCAGGTATATGCCAGGATACCATATGAAGGACTGGCAAGGAAATTACAGGCACATGGAATAAATGAACACTAGAATGGATAAATTAATGGTTAAGGGGTGATGGTAACCGAAAATCCGAAGAATGGAATATTTACGAAAAATACTACAACGTTCTGGCAACACTGTGGTCCAAACCGTTTAATGATATCCTGAAAAATAACGTAATTAGAGTCAAATTTCCCGCTGCAACTTTCGTGAATCTGGTCCTCGCGGCGTGAGTGCGCCGCGGGGTATTGTATCTTACGTTGTAGAAGTCTTATTTTTTGTAATAGCGTTGAAAATAACATGTTATGCATAAAATGAATATAAACTCACTCATTGGCAACAGTATCGTGTGAGAGAGAGGGTGGTATGTGGCTCAGCCCATCAGTGACTCTGTGTCTCTCGTGGGGAGTAGATGTATCGCTGACGCGCTCTCACACTATCTCCCAGAACTCATGCTATTATTGCTATTTGTACTGCAATATGACTTACCAAATGAACAAGAGAAAAGCATTGAAAGCTAGATGCATGCGAGCTCTCCATAGAAGGTACGAGCTGGCCGCAATGCGTAAATCACGCATTGTCACGAGTGACCGCGAGTATGAGTATCTTGTCGCGCGCGCTACGCAACTCCAACTTTTACAACTAGATCTGGTTTCACAGCCTTTATTTATTATTCAATTTACATGAAACTTGCACATTATATGTAGAGTTTACGCCTCTATAAACGGATGTCATTATTCTTATCTACGTAGATTTATTGATTTTATAAATAATGATACACTTCATTTTGTTGCATACGTTTTTGGGAAACTTTTATAAATCTGTATTATTGCACTAAATACATCTGGGATAATGATGTGACATGCAAATCTTTATTATATAGTAAGGTCATAGCTGAGTGTCGTATAAATGATTTTGGTTCACAATTGTGGGCTGTGAAATCAATTGAACATGGTTGAAAAATTCCTTGTTTTTTTTTTTTTTTTTTCTCCGTCTCTATTTAGGCTGAGATGCTGAAACTTGGCCTAGGTGCAGCACCTTTCACATGTATCAGGATAATAAATTATGAATACCCTACAACAATTTCTTATATCCTGGTACTATCGCCCCTTAAAACAAAAAATTTTAATTAGAAGATTTTTAGTGGAGCACTTGCTGAGCAGCTTTCAATGTCTTGTAAATCCTAACTCCTGGAGGGCTTTTTCTCTTCAATTTGCTGCAGTTGTTGCTATGATAGTTATGATGTATATAATGTGTATACCTACGAGAAAATCTTTTGAGCAAGATGGCAGGATCAAACCAGTATCCTGGGTCACCCCAGGGGTGCATCATACCCACAGATCATGATATGCAGAAGTTACATAGCCTCAGGTCTGCCAGAATCCAGTAGGAATTTGGAGGCACTGAACATCCGATCTGATGAACAGCCTCAAAAGCCCCATGTCCTGCTAAATAAACTCTGAAGTCTACACATGATGAGCTGTACTTGTAATGTACTACTTCAGGTTTTTACAGAGCAAAAATGCCTCAAAAATGGTTGATAAAACAAGTGTTGGTGGGGCGTCCCTACACATCGCCACCTTTTAGTGCCTCATCTTCTAGCAATTACAATCTACTCTACTCTTCAAAAAGCATTAAATTAGACAAGAAAGACAATGTCTTTCCAGGTAAATATAGATCAGTGTTTTATATTATCAGTGTATAGTAAATACCTGTATATTGTTTTTTGGTGTTCCAGGAGCACATCACTCGTTTATAACATTGTGCCAGTGGGAAATCTGGGCTTGAGTTATGGACACATCTTATTCATAAGTGTGGGACTACCTGTATTTCCAATTTAGGGAGACTTTACCTTGGTCTACAGATTTTCAAAATACTGTAGGAGTTTCATTGGTAAACAGTTCTCAGCCAGTTCCTAAACAATTTTTGAATGAATTCCATCCACACCTGGGGCTTTAGATAATTTTAATTTGTTAATGCTTTTCCTAACTGTTTTGCTCATCATACCAAGGCTATTCCTTGACTTGCTTTATTTCTGACTTATGCATGAGTTCCCCTTTTTGTCAATTAGAGAAACGAGATTATTTAAATGGATCGACTATATATGTCAAATACTTCTCCAATCACCCCCAAATTCACACATTGTTACATTCTCTCTCCACAACCATTACATTCATATTGACCACATTCACATTTAGAAATGTTCTCAAATATGTCAACAAAACTTTTATACTGCACACATGGCAAAGTGAGTACAGTGTACTGTATTATTATTTTCAACTATAATAAGCACAAGCCAGTACTGTACTATGACTATGTATAAGACTGAAAAAGTATTACCACATGCACGTCCAAATGAATTATTTCTTCCTAACATATGCTTGTAAATGAAAATGAATAAAGACTTCTTTTTAACTTACAACTCTTGAGTTTTTTTGACGTGATCGATATCTGCTTTGGCTGCGTTCAAACAGAGAGCCGAGACCAAACTTGAAAAACTTTGCAGTTGACTGGATACAGAACTCCCATCGTTCCATGGGTTCTCGAAGTCCTTTAAAGAAAAATGTACAAAATTTCAGTACTGTATGAATTAAAATGTGCACTGCATTTTACTATCAAGTATACAAATTTATGCTTGACTGCACAGCAAACGTAGGCTAAATAAGTACATTTAGTAAGGTGAGCTATTAAGTTTGTCCTAGTTATATCAGTCTGTCCTACCCATGCATATCCTATCTAATTATGTCCTATAAATAATAATAAAATAATTTATTTGTAAAAAAATACAGAGGCTCAAATTACAGAGGATAGTGTACTTAGTAGGTATAGTATTTATCTATTTTATAACACCATTAATAGAAATTTGGGTATAAATTAAGATAATGTGAGTATAATGCAACCTCAAACAGCAAACTATTGTATATGGGTTTGTTGCGTCCTGAGATATGTTGCAATCAGCAATGCCTTCAGGAGGCATTTGTATGATACAATATTTTCAATTATTTTTTAAGACATGCAAAATACGTTACTATGCATTAACAGAGCCAGTGAAGAGTAAAGGCACAATCGGAGAACACTGTATGAACATCAGAGGTCCACAGGTATTCAATATCCTCCAAGCAAACATAAGAAATATTCGCCGGAACAAAAGTGAACGTGTTCAAGAAAAATTAGAAATGTTCCTGCAAGACATGCCAGACTAACAAGATGGATATGTGGGCCTGCAGCCTGCTCAAGCAATAGCCTGTTAGACCAAGATATCATAAATCAAGCCTGGCCCCAGGCTGGGCTTGGATAGTATAAGAACTCTCAGACCCCACTTCAGGTATACGCCAGGATACCACATGAAGGACTGGCAAGGAAATTACAAGCACATGGAATAAATGGAAGAGTTCTAGAATGGATAAATCAGTGGTTGAAACAAAGAAAACAGTCGTGCTAAATGGGAATGAATCTGAAGAAATGTGGTAAGTGGGGGTACCACAGAGGTCCATTTTGGAGCCAACCCTTTTGGTCGTGTAAGGTGGTTGTATGGTGCCCATATCGTGAAAAGCACATCAACAAACTGGAAAAAGTGCAAAGACATGCAACTAAATGGCTCCCAGAACTGAAGGACAAGGGCTATAAGGAGAGGTTAGAGGCATTAAATATGCCAAACTATAAGACAGACGAAAAAGAGGCAATATGATCACTACAGGTGTACGTACAAAATAGCGACGGGAATTGATAAAATTGATAGGAAAGAATTCCTGAGACCTGGATCTTCAAGTACAAGAGATCACAGATTTAAACTAAGTAAATAAAGCTGCAGAAGGAATATAGGAAAATTCACTTTCGCAAACAGAGTGGTAGACGATTGGAACAAGTTAAGCGAGGTGGTAGTGGAGGCTAAAATCCTCAGTAATTTCAAAGCGTCATATGACATGTACGCTAGGAGATGGGACACCATGAGTGTAGCTCTCATCCTGTAACTACACGTAGGTAATTAAATCAATGACATTAGAATATTACAAACCACATCATCAAATTTGCAGATGACACAGATTTATGATAAAGTGGGAAATGATAATGATATTAAAGCCTTACAAAGAGATCTACATCTACTCCACAAATGGTCAGGAGATTGACTAATGCTTTTTAACCCTCAAACCGCTAGGGGTCCAAATGGCTTTAACACCCACAGGCGCAACAAAAAAAAAATCCAAAAAACCAGCGTTGAATGTAATGAAACGCCATTTTCTGGGTGAGACCCGGAGGCTCCCCGGAGCTTTAAAAGGCTGATATGCTAATGTCAGACTTTGGCATCAGTCATGTGTATGGAGTTCTAGGGCCTACCGGGGACCACGGCCAGAACCTGGCCCCCTCAGAGAGGCAAGGGGAGCAATGGCCTATAGAAACCCCTGTGTGGTTGGAAGCATTCTATGCCTGCCATCGACCGGGTCAAGCATCCAGAAAGGTAAGTGTTACGACCCTGGGTTCTCCAGTGGAAACCAGAGGTCAGAATTGAGCTATTAAACTTTCTGGTAGTACAGTTGAGTGCATCACGAGCGGCAATTGTTTGTATCTTCCCTGCCAGACGTAAGACTATTCTTGTTTCTCAAAGAGCATTTAAAGACTGAGCTGGGGGTTGATTATTAAATAATAACATAGGCACCAACTATGTTTACTAATACTTTAATCATTTGTAAGTAACAATACATTGCATAGGGGAAGATTTTTAATGTGCTTAGCTGCACGATCAATTAGGCTCCTTCCGGCACCACGACATGCGGGAGGCCTAGCTGGTCGCTAGGAGCGTTCTTCTCTGGCTGGCGTTCGTGGGCACGAGACCTACTCTGTGGCTGCACCCCTACTCTCCTCCCTTCTCCTCTTACTTATTTCCCTTACCTGAAGTTCCTGTACCATTAAGTTAAGTACGGGGCATTTTTAAGTGTACCTACTCTGGTAGTAACGATTGGTGAGACCTGGGGGTAGTATTTGCCAGTGTTTTGGGTACCCCTAAGTGTTGTGTTTTGTATTAGGGTACCACATGGTCTCACTACCCTAAGCTGCATCCAGCTTCAGGGGCCATGGTACCCGAAAATCCGATGAAAAATGGAATATTTACGAAAAATTACGAAAAATACTACAATGTTCTGGCAACACTGTGGTCCAAACCGTTTAATGATATCCTGAAAAATAACGTAATTAGAGTCAAATTTCCCGCTGCAACTTTCGTGAATCTGGTCCTCGCGCCGTGAGTACGCCGCGGGGTATTGTATCTTACGTTGTAGATGTCTTATTTTTCGTAATAGCGTTGAAAATAACATGTTATGCATAAAATGAATATAAACTAACACATATGGCAACAGTATCGTCTGACACAGAGGGTGGTGCCGTCAGTGACTGCGTGTCTCTCATGGAGAGAGGATGTATGCTGACGCGCTCACACAATATCTCCCAGAACATGCTATTTTTGCTATTTGTACTGCAATATGACTTACCAAACGAACAAGAGAAAAGCATTGACAGCTAGATGCATGCGAGCTCTCCATACGAGCTGGCCGCAATGCGTAAATCACCAGTCACGAGTGACCGCAGGTTGAGTAAACTTGTCGAGCGTGCTACGCAACTCCAACTTTTACAACTAGATCTCGTTTCACAGCCTTTATTTATTATTCAATTTACATGAAACTTGCACATTATATGTAGAGTTTACGCCTCTATAAACGCATGTCATTATCCTTATCTACGTAGATTTATTGATTTTATAAATAATGATACACTTCATTTTGTTGCATACGTTTTTGGGAAACTTTTATAAATCTGTATTATTGCACTAAATACATCTGGGATAATGATGTGACATGCAAATCTTTATTATATAGTAAGGTCATAGCTGAGTGTCGTATAAATGATTTTGGTTCACAATTGTGGGCTGTGAAATCAATTGAACATGGTTGAAAAATTCTTCTTTTTTTTTTTTTTTTTTCTCCGTCTCTATTTAGGCTGAGATGCTGAAACTTGGCCTAGGTGCAGCACCTTTCACATGTATCAGGATAATAAATTATGAATACCCTACAACAATTTTTTATATCCTGGTGACATGGCCCCTTCAGTGCTTATCCAGTAGTACTTTACCCTAGCTTGTTCTTAGTGTAAACCTTGTATCCTGCCTAAGTGGACCAAGGCTTTTTAACGTAAGGTAGTGTGGTAAAGTTCTTATTATTATTGTTATTGGTATGAGTGTATATGGGGGGTTGTTAAGGGGTTAATAAATAAGTACATGAATTATAGGAGTATCCCTTCTTCCTGTGTGGGAGTGCATTGATCAACCCTTAGACTAACATATATGGTCTAGTAGCAAGTTATTATTACTGTGGATAGTTTATTTTGGGGGCCAGGCCTTTTAGCTCTCCCATATTTGATACTCTGTCTTCTAACTACCCTTACCCCTTAATAATACCAAGTCCCCCATAGCCCACCACAACACACTCAATTATTTATAACAGTAAGCATTCCAAAACAAACCCCTATTCTGGTGAAAATTGCTACCTAAAGCCGAGCTAGTGGATAGAACTCCTCAACAGAAAACAAGCAAACTAGTATGACGTCATAAGTCACCGCGCTGCTGTCTGCGCAGCTCCCCCCTCCCCAGGAGGGGGGAGCTGCACAGGGCGCTCATGCTGGAGAGGAGGTGGGGAGCGGCGAAGGAGCCTCCCCCCACCCAAAAACGCAGGGTAAAAACCTTGTGACTTTCCCACAGCAGCATTCCAGAACACCCCCAAGAGCAAAGGGGCACGGACTGGAGAATGACAAGAGCGAGAGGCGAAGCCCCTGAGATAAAAAGGACGCACAACACCAGCACGTGTGCACACCTCCCAGAACCAAAACAAACTCCCATGGCGCACACGCAGGACACTTAAAAGTAGCCCAACAGGTTGGGCTACACAGGTCCATCCTACTCCGTCCAAGAACAGCAGAAAAGTAGCTCAACGGGTCATATCCCGAGCGAACCGTTGAAGAAACAGGCCAACTGATGGAAACAGAAACCAACGTAGCTGGCCCATGTAAGGACAACAACGAACCGAAACGGAACCCAAGCGGGCCACCAGTAGCCCAACATGGCGACAAGTAGCCCAACCGACTCAAGTAGCCCAACCGGCTACAAGTAGCCCAACCGGCTACAAGTAGCCCAACCGGCTACAAGTAGCCCAACCGGCTACAAGTAGCCCAACCGGCTACAAGTAGCCCAACCGGCTACAAGTAGCTCAACCGGCTACAAGTAGCCCAACCGGCTACAAGTAGCCCAACCGGCTACAAGTAGCCCAACCGGCTACAAGTAGCTCAACCGGCTACAAGTAGCTCAACCGGCTACAAGTAGCTCAACCGGCTACAAGTAGCCCAATCCGGCATGCTGGATCAGAACGGAAAGAAAACGAGCAGCGCCGAGACACAGCGCGGAGAGAAAAGAGAAGAACAAATGAACGAGAAGGCCAAAAACCCAGAGGCAACCCGGAATAGGGCCCATAAGCTTCCCGAGGGAAGCCCCACCGAATGACAACAGACGTA